CTTAATGCAAAGTTCTTCCTCACGTTGAGGTGGATCTTCTTGTGATTTTATTTATGGCCATTGCTCCTTATCCTGTCACTGGGAATCACTGAAAAGAGGCTGGCATCATCCTCTTGACTCCTTCCTTTAAGATATTTATATGCACTCATGAGATCCTCTCCCAGTCCTTTATTTTCTAGACTAAAGATCCCCAACTCCCTCAGTATCTCGTAAGAGAGATGCTCCAGACCTCAAATCATCTTTGTGGTCTCTGCTGGAGCCTCTCCATCACCTCCTTGTCTTGTGCTGAGGAGCCCAGAACCGGACACAGCACCCCAGATGTGCCTCACTAGAGCCAAGTAGAGGGACAGGATCACCTCTCTTGACCTGCTGGCCAGACTTTTCCCAAAGCACTCCAGGATCCCACTGGCCCTCTTGGCCACAAGGGCATTGCTGGCTCATGGCCAGCTTGTCATCCAGCAAGACTCCCAGGGCCTTCTCTGCAGAGCTGCTCTCCAGTGGGTCACACCCCAGCCTGTGCTGGGATTTGGGATTTTTCCTCCCCAGATGCAGGACCCTGCACTGGCCCCGGTTGAACCTCATCAGGTTCCCTCTGCCCAAGTTTCCAGCCTTTGATGGTCCTGCTGAATGGCAGCACATCCCTCAGGTGTATCTGTCATGCCCTCCAATTTTGTATCATCAGCATAAGATGGTACAACACAATACTTCTGTAGGCCTGGATTTATTGCATGTATTTAATGATTATTCTGAGGAGATAATAACCAATCACTAATTAAGTTAGTCAGATATGAAGAAAGCTGTTATGAAATTTTGAGTGACCTCTGATTCAAACAGGGACTGCAATAGCAGGGAAAAATGCCAGACAGCCAATTAAAGGTCTGGTGGTTGAGTAGAGCAACAGGAACTTCTCATGTGGATTGCCAGACCTTAAACTAGCTTTTATAACTCAGGGGAAAAAAAATCACAAATTTAATGTGAACATCTCCTTTCCTAAAGCAAACACACATCTGCTCAAAAGACATGAATATCAGCCTCAAAACATATTAAGAAAGGTAGTACTGGAGTTATGGCTTCTTATAACTTCCTGAAATAGCATTTTCTCACTGGTTGCCTACCTGAAAAAAAAAATACAAAACCAAACCCACCAACCAACCAAGCAAAACCCAAAACCTAACCCAAAATAAAAGAAAACCAAAAACCTGAATAAACAAACAGCAAAGAAAAAGAAGCACTAATAGCTGAAAACTATTACGGTAATGAAAAGTTTGCTCAAAAGACAAAGACACATACTAAAGACAAAAGACAAAACAGAAGTCCTTTTTTACATAACCATTTCTCAAGAAAAATAATTTTTACACTTTTTATTCTGCTACAATTTTGTAAAGATCTCTTGGAAGTTTCTACTGTAATTATTGTAGAGGATTAAAATAAATGGCCCCAGTGTTTTCAATGAGACAAAGAATATGAAGAAACACAATAATATTACACAATGGTAAGGAGAATGTAAAATACTGAGCATAATTAAACTGTGTTAAATGTTGGTGTGAAGCGCATCTATAAGTCGTAGTTAGGTTAAAACAGTGAATTTGACAACATATTTTTCCTGCTCATATTAAGAGTACTAGGCCAAGTTAACATGAATTTGAACTCAGACTCCCAACCTGAAATAAAATCTAAGCTATTTCATCCTGCAATAGTCTGGGAACCATACTTGGGTGACACGTACTGTAAAACGAGACTCTTAGTACCATATCTTGGTAAGAGAATAAATCTTATTTTTTTTAAGTGAGTTCTTGATCGAGAGGAAGTTAGGAGCACATAAAAATTTACACATCTACATATGAAAACTGACACCAAAAAATTCAATTCTCACTCTATCTTTGAAGTCCCACAAACAACTCCACATCAGCAACAAGATGTTCCAAGTTCGAGAGCCCTTGTGAGCTTGAAACAACACCCAAGTCCCAAAATCTCAGATCTGGCTCATTTTCTATGGTGCAGCTGGAAGAAGTAATATCCTGTACTACACAAGCATAACTTGGAACACTCACTTGAGTGTGAGGAATCCCATTTCCAGTCTCTTCCCACCTTCAGGCAGTGTGGACACTGCCTTTCCAGCAGAACTACAAGCTATTTTAGAAAAGAGGATCTGGGACTGTTTTACTAGACATTCTACAGCCCTGCCAGAGTGAAGTTGCAAATTTCATGCAGCTGGAAAAAAGGAGAGAGAGGATAACACAGCCCAATGGCTGGGCAACTTGGAAAGGGAGGGAAGAGCCATCAGTTTCACACAAGCCACAAGGTCCCACATCTCTGGTGGGCAGCTGTAGTGAGCACAAGTCCTGATGAGTCCTTTCAAAAAAATCCTGCTATGGGGACCTACCTCTGGAGAAGGGCTCGGACTCCACAGCCTGTAGGCACTGGACTCTGGTCAGCCTTTGCTAAGGGCTATTTCAAGGCTGTTTCTGCTGCGTTTGCAGGTTTCCACCCAATTGTGGCATGCACTACAGAGGGAGATTGTGTGTCCCAGCTCCATGTCTTTATTGAGCCTTCCTGGGACTGGCTATTGAAGACACCTGTTTCAGCCCTAAATATGACAGCGGAGAAGCACAGAGGCTACATCCTGCCCTTTGTTCTCACCACTAAAGCATTGCTGGCCCAACAGTGTAAACATGTCACAATTCTCCCACCAACTGCAGTGGGAAGTGTATTGCATCTCTACGCTTTGATTTAACTCTCCTCTGTATCTTGCAGCTGAGAACAAAAGTATTGTCCTTGTAACAAATTTCCTTACTGTAATAATACAGATACTAACAACAATGAAGGGAAGAAAAACCACTAGAAAAGAAGTGCATTACTTAGACAAAATAATAAACCATGAATGACTACAGTGACAAGATTAAATGTGAAACCTCTAATTACACATTTAATCATTTGCCAATGTCTTATTTTCTTGAAGTAATGTTCATGAAGCTTCAACAAGATTTGAATTTGAGGCTGATTTTATGTGTGAACTACTAAAGCAATGCAAATAGAAATGGTTTAAAGACTAAAAAATAATATATAACTTTAATCTTCAGCTCTGCTGACATCTTACTGAACATCTTTATTACTCTCAGTCACACTAGCCCTCATTGAGTGACATCACTGTGTCAAAACACATCAAACCCGTTTCTACTGCACAGATGCTATATAAAATGAAATAGAAAATTAAGGGACAGATAAGTGGTTACTTAAAAAGTAAGATACTGTATTAAAACAAGAGTGTAATAACATTATGGAAGAAGACACTGTTATTTGTGAAGTGTGGACAAACCTGTGCCCCCAGGCTGTATCTCCTCCCCTGCCTTTTCCACAAGGAGGCAAAAAGCAGCTGCTAGAGCACAAAAGTATATCATCAGCATCTGAACGCCTTTTCCTGTGGATTTCAGAGCCCAAAAACAGAGAGCAGGGCTGGTTGTTGCTGTTGGGTTCAGAATGGCCAAGGGAATTACCTGATTTCTGTAAAAATTCTGTGCACCAAAGTCATCTTCTAGCACACTCAGAGGAGTACTTACTAAAAACAAGGTAACCCAAAGCACAACAAAAAGCAAAAATAGCAAAATTCTCCTTCTTCTAACTGGAACAAAAGGCAAAGTCCAGACAACCTTTGCATTTAAACAGATGCCCTCAAAGAATGTGGAGTCAGAAAGTGCAGACTTTCACCAAAGTCAGAATATTGCTTATATGCTAAGAAAAACAGCCTAATATACTGAACACATCTCCTAACATGAATTGTAAAGGCACTGTTGTACTGCTAGGTTTTGCTTCCCCTATAAGAGAGCAGTTGGAGTTGAAGGAAAAACCCTGGAGTGCCTTTTATTTTGTTTTATCATGTTGTAGGCTTTGGTAAATTGCCTTACGGTTCCTAGACAGGGTGGATCTTCACACAGACAAAACTGTAATTCAGCTGGTTTTTCTCCTTTCTAAGAACAAATTTAAACTGGGCCTGGGTTGCAGGGAGGATGGGTTTGCTGTACTCATGCTTTTCACCCCAGCAGAGGGGACCAGAGCACATGGGGCCTGGACAGTGTCCAGGGTGCAGAAATGTGCTGGAGCACATACAGTGGGGAAGCATCATCTGCTCCAGTGAAGGAGGACAGCATTTTTATTATTTCTTTTGTGGAGACAAAAACCACCAGACAGAGAACTGTAAGGTAATCTTCAGGTCATATTTTCTTCCATGTTCATCTGTTTCTATTTGTGTCATCCTTTTGAAAAATAAGTCATCCTCTGTACATGTGGCTCTTGATTCCCTTAAATTGGTTGTTGATGCTTGACAGGGCCCCTGACTCACTGCTGTGAATTGGAGGAAATGCTCCAGAACCCGCTACCTGCTAGAAGTCTCTGCTTCTACCACCTTTTGGAACAGGCAAAGCCAGAAAGAAAAGGGGATAATTTAATCAGGTTCTGATTATTACACAAGACTACTGCATGTTTGCTTCTCAGCTAAGTAATTTTTTAATTATTATTTTGTTTTGTAAACAAGAAAAATTAGCTTATGAAAAGCAGAGAACACAGGCACACATCCATAGCATCCATAGCAATCTAAGTACAGTCAGCACTGGGAAAATTAGTTTTCTTCCTTTCTTTCCTTTTTTGAACCTCTTTTTGAATCATGAGGAGTTTGGACTGATTCAGTAATAGATATTTCTCTTTCACCTACCACATTTGAAAATGACTTTAACAGCACAGCACGCATTAACTCCCTCCTCCCTATATAGAACTGCCTGCTTATTAAATCCACATTCAGTGCTTAAACTGAAAATGTAGGAGGTGTTTCACTTGGTACTTCTGAATGCATGTGAGGCACCAATGTCAGAGTCCTGGAAACATGACACATTTTGATCCTCTTTTCCCCAACAATTAGTGGATAAATAATTCCTGAGACAATGCTGAAAGCAGGCTCACTCATTGTGTACCTGACAACACATGGCTGAGATGACGGGACATTTACTCACCCTGCCAGCCAGATGATCTGTAGGTCTTTGGAGAATTTCTCTCTGTCTCTTCTCTAGTCCACTCATGCATCAGGTTCCTTAGAGATATGGGACAGCCAAGTGAATTTAGTTTTCTTGCTCAGGGTGTAAGATTGTTACCTGTGACAGAGAGGATAAAGAGACTAAATGTGGCGTATGAAGGCACTGGAACAATAACTTCCATAATTCAGGTAATTCTTACTTCCTGCCTTCAATAGTAGCCAATATTGAGGAATAAAAACCCCAAGAGTTGATTGAAAAATAAGCAGCCTGGAGGAATTACTCCAGGTTTAGTAAGAGCCAGAATTTTTTACACTGTCTTATTTAGTTGTAGAAAAATTATGTGTGTGAGGAGAGTTTTCAGTGATTTAATTCTATTGGTTAAGAGATCACATTTCAAATAGATGCATTTAGTTAGATGCATTTACTTTTAGTTTCTCTCTCACTGTTCAGATACTATAATGACCTGTTCTGAAATATTAATCCAATCTCACCATTCTACACATATTCTCTTCCCTGTACCTTCTCTAGGCTGTTTTTTCTACTGTTTTTTCACTTCAGAATATCCAGAATGAAGATTATTCACTGGTGTTATGGCTTTTTTAAAATACCTGTAGACTTTTCCTCTTCAAGGATGAACTGCTCAGACCTAAATATATTTCAAAACTGTGACCAAGCATTACTGTTTCCCTCTTTTCCTCCCTATACCACCAAGTGAGCTGAGAGACACCAGCTCAAAGCCAAACATGGTCACCATCTATGTCACTTCCCTGCTCTGTGTCCTTCAAAAATACATCTGGTAAATAGGTGGAAGAGGAGACTTTGGAACACAAGCACAGATCATATTCTCTACAACTGCTGGACCTCAATAGGCCAAGGAGAGAAAAGCAAACATGCAAACCCCAAACATGCTGCACTTAAGAACAATATAAAAAGCAGAAATGGGTAAATGTCTAGCTTTGTAGAGCTCCCTTGAATAATTTTTCTGGGTTTTTTTTTTGACTGAATAGCCAAGATACAGAAGTAACTGAGGGAGAAAGGAACCGAGAATAGGTCATTATTTAATTGCCTCACAAAGTCTAAAATACAAAGGACTTTCACTAGGGGTTACTTTGGAGGTAAAATTGGAAACTTCTCTTCAGAGAGTTTTCTATTAAAGGTCATAGGTATCAAAATCTATCGTCTCACTTTAGATCAGTTATAAAGCTACTATAAATAAAGTCTCCTATATGGCACATTGTCATTGATTCCCACTTCAGTGTAATCAGCACTGCAGACACAGGAAATTCCTAAAATAAACAGCGGTATTCTCTACTTACTGCACTTAAAAAGGAGTCAGGAGCTCTGTATTTATGTTTTTAAATATTCATTACAATAAGTAATTCATCATAATTTAAGATATGCATCACAGTTGCTACAGAGCAAATTATTTTATTATCATTTCAATGAACAAATGTACTGTATCAAAATACAGTGTAGCTATGACAACAGTAATTCATAGTTTACCACAGATTTTACCACTAAGCAAATTAAGTAATTTTGCTGAATTGTTTCTTGATAATAAAAATGTGATAATTTGCAAGCAGTAATGTTAACATTTACTGTTCTTAGAGCCAGTGTCTTCTTTGACACCGTCTTCTTTGACAATTGTAAATACATCAAAATATCTTTCTTGGGTAAAACCAGACCATACAGCTGAAAAATATAGTGTCTATTCCACTGAAGCTACTAAAGAACCCATGTGGTAACTGCTCTGGACAAAAAAACCCAACAAAAATCAGAAGATTTAAAAAAAAATCAAAATACTGTAGTAAATTTACTTACATGCAAATGATAAAATCATGCTAAAAAAATCCCTTGTGGAAATAGATTTGATATCTTTCACCTTACTCTATATTTCTTGCTGAAAAAGATTTGTGAGTGTGAACATGGGAGTAGGAAGAATGACATGAAAAATATGAAACAAATATTTGCATCAACTTTTTTGACAGCTCCAACTGAAACGTGTCTCCTGAAACCCAAGACAGCAAAAGGGGCCCAGAAGAGGAAGCTGCTTGCTGAAAACAGTTCTCCCAGTGCACTGGAACCTCCCAGGTTGTCATGTGGGAAGTCATGCAGGCACAGCAGATGGACAGCACAGGATGAAGAGGTTGGGAGGGCTACTCGGGAGCAATGCAGAACTTCCTTCTTCTGGACTGCATGGATGAAACTGGGGAAGCCAGACCTCAGCTGGATTTGAAACTGGTGAGCAACATAAGAAACAACCAGATGAGCTTGTAGGGGAACAAAAGAAAGTCTGAGAAATAGGTTTTTGGGAGAATGTGGCAAATCTCCAGCCTTGTAGATACTCCAAATTCAGCAGAACAAGGCTGTGAGTGATGTTATCTAATTTTATCTTGCTTAGACTATGACATTGTTGATACCCTCCAGAGGCCTCCAGAAGTCTATTCTAACAAACAAATTGCTGTGATTCAATGACATAATTTAATTTGCCTGCAGTTTTCTTCCCTGTGAATAAAAGAAGGGTGAACATAAGAAGAAAAGCCAGAGGGAGTAAAAAGTAAAAATTTATCTCATCTTTAAAAATTTTCTTAAAGAAAGAATACTGAATTTGAATAACAAAAATTGCAAACAACTGAAATTATTAGACTGTTACTAAATAGTTTTATTTTATCTTTTACTCTCTATCACCTGTATGATTTTGTAAGCCATTCACCTTGTTCTGCTTTTTTCTTTTCACTGAAAGTAAGTGGCAATACCCAGGATGTGGAGATTTTGAGTGAAGCTTTTGCATTAGGACTTGTAGGGGACCTTCATTTCGTCTGATATTTCCCTGAGCAGAAAACTTCCACTACCATGGGATGGCACCAGACTGTAGGCACTACAATTTTTCCAGGTGCATGGTCCATCTGTTTCTCCCTCTTTGCCTCTTCATGTTTACCCAAAAAAGCGCAAGAATTTAGCACCATACACTTTTCAAGCCTGAGTAAGCAGCTTAATTATTCAGACAAAATAGCATTGATTTGAAAGTGTCTGAACAAATGAAATTCAGGCTTGCCAACCTCATTGAGAAGGACAGCCAACCTGCTCAGGGAATTTCCAATTTTGTTACTTACAGTTCTTGTTTCTTTCTTTTATTTCAGGGTCATTTTACGCAATACAGTGCAAATTCTGGCAAAGCAATCACACAGCTGCTTTTGAAATCAGAGACTTTGCTAAAGAGGCAGACCTTCAGCTCCCTCTGAATTCAAGAGCACCCAAAGACAATACATGAATCAGGGAAGCTGTCAGCTGACAGTGATTAAAAAAAAAAATAGTAGGCTCAATTCAACACCCACTAAAATGAATGGGACAATTACATCTGTGAATGAGCTACCCTTAAACATGAAGTAAATATCACACTCTATTGTTGACTCCTTCTTGGACCATAAATTCAGGTCTCCTTAATGTCATTATGTCATTCCACAGGCTCATTTTTTAATAAGCCATGCCTTGCTTTCTTCAGTGTTTCCAAGGGTAAGAATTTAGACAATAGACAGTCATCTTCCACAGTAATCACTTTTATCATAGAGTCATGCTACAAAATAGAAACCCTATTATACTCCATTTACTAAATGTAGATAAGAATCAACTTCTTGGGCTATAAATGGACAGTATTACTCATTATGTTATTTGCTATAATAGTTGAACACCAATGAGTTGCAGATCCAACAAATATCCAAAAATTGCTATGCAAAAAGCCCTAAAATTAAGTTCTTGACAGATAATAACTAATGCTGTACACCCCTACTTTTTATGTTATGAACAATGTGTACACTATATTTATGCAGGAGAAACCAGTATTTAAAACTCTTACATTTATCATAAAAATAGATTTTATTACAGAAAACAGTGCCTTGCCATAAGAGATTTACAACTGATTAAAAAGGATGGCTTGTCCTAAAACACTTACATGATTGCATGCAAAGAAAACAGATGGTCTGTGTAACAGTAATTTGATTTCTTCCAGTAAACATTACTCATGATATAGAAAATGCTTATGCTGATCTACTCCAGAGTGATGTGAGCTCTTTGCCTCTCTCTTTAAATGAAGCCTGTAATTCTGTTCAAGAAACAGCACTGCAGCTCTGGTTTCCCAACAAATCAAATAAAATCAGGTTGTCTAATGCGTCATTCCTCACTTAAGAGCCTGACAACACAAAGATTAATTTTAACTTTTCACTCTCCCAAAAGTGCTTAACATAATGCCTGCTCCCTACTCATTTAGTCCTTTTTGTAACACTTCTTCAGGACGAAGAAAAGAAACAGGACGAAGAAAAGACTACTATTTCTACCTTCATCTCTGAGAATAAGCCAAAATTCAATGTTTATTCTCTTCTGCTGCATCTAACATTCTTCTCCTTTATATAACTGCGGGTATACAAGAAGGAGGGAAAAGCCTTAGTGGTAAGGCTTCATCTGTCCACCTCAAATTTTGTTCTATCTCTTGCGTCACACCAAGAATGCTGCTCAGGGAAATTCAGCACTCACATTTCCCCTACCCAGCATTGGATGAAAAGCTGCCTTTGTAAGGCAGACAATCCTCACGGGGTTTAAATCATTAAAGTTCTTGGAAACCAAATCATGGATGGGAATTCTGTCACTTGTTCATACAAGGTAATTGTCTGGGGTGATAAAGGGTTCATGTTGCCTTTTACAGCTCTTTTTGCATGAGATGAATACAGGCAGATCTTTCTCAAAGGCACAAAATTAACCCCTAAGATCCTTATATCTTTTCCTGTATTGCACAGGGACTTCACACCTGGGTATGTTTCGTCATCTGCAAGTAATAATATTCCTGCTGGAATGTAACCCTGTGTGTCATTATCTTGTCTTGTTTCATTACTGTTGCTTCACCTGACTGGCCTGGACTTATCCCAGCCAAATGAAGTAAGGGCAAAATCCTATTAAATGCCTGCTGGGAACACCCTAAACTGCAGCTCTTGTCAGTGGGAATTAAGGGTTCTCAGCACATTGTAACAGGTACTCAGACCCTTGAGAAATTGGACCCTTAATTAGAAATTCCCTCATGACATTGTGTGATTATTTAATGTTCTGACAAGATGCCTCAGCAATCTCAC